CTCGGGGCGGGGGCCGGGAAGAGGCCCGGGAGCCGGGAGGCAGGGGACCAGGGAGCAGGGCTCGGGGCGGGGGCCGGGAAGAGGCCCGGGAGCCGGGAGGCAGGGGACCAGGGAGCAGGGCTCGGGGCGGGGACCAGGGCTCGGGCCGGGAAGAGGCCCGGGCCGCCCGGCGACCTACGGCCTGCGTGGAGAGCATCTCGTTGATGCTGTGGTCGTACTGCTCCGCCAGGATGGCCAGCTTGCGCGTCTGCTCGTCCTTGAGGCGCTTGAGGATGCCCTTGTGCTCGCTCTTGGCCGTGGTCTCCAGCAGGTGGTTGCGCAGGGCCTTGTACTGCCGCGTCTGGATCTTACACGTGTCCTGGAACTGCTTCTTGATCTGCAGCTCCTTGGACTGGGGGCAGGGGCCGCGGGGCGGGGCCGGGGGCGACGGGACAGGGACGGGAGGAGAGAGACAGGAGCACACGTTAGCGAGACAGGCACACCGGGGCGGGCGGGGCCGCACCCTGCGCCCCCACAGGACACCCCCCGGCCGGCTGGGGGTAGAGGCACGAGAACAGGCGACCTCTGCCCTCCATTTATGGGGCGGTGACCTTTGCCCTGCCTTGACCACAAGGGCTGAGACCCACATGTGCTGCTGCGTTCGGGGTGGGGGGCCTTTGCCTATGGCATGCCTGGGGCTCGCTGACGTTTGCCCTGCCTGTGACCCCCATGACCTGCCCCCATCATGCAGCACATGACCTTTGACCTGTCCGACCTCCACAACCTGCCCCCATCATCCCATGGCTGGGACATGTGACCTTTGACCTGCCTGTGGAACCCCCCCACAACTTGCCCCCATCATCCCAGGGCCAGGGTTTGTGACCTTTGACCTACCTGTGACCCTCCCCCCCAACGACCTGCCCCCATCATCCAAGGGCTGGGGCTTGTGACCTTTGCCCTGCCTAGGAGCTGTGTGAGGGGGGCGTGTCCTGTGCCCAGGTTACCCGGGGCCGGGGGGGGGGGGAGGGGGGGAAAGAGGTGCGTTTCAGCTCCCAGTAACGACCAGATGCTCGTCAGGTCCGGGCGCCCTGCAAGGGGCCGTCTTTTATTGAAGGTGGAAAGGAGCCAAAAGAAGCATGTGTCAAACCAAATACAGAGGAAGGCAAAATGTAAAACAATGAATGTATGGAGGACACACAGGCGGGGTGGGGGCAAACACAGTCACCAAAAACGGGAGCCAGCGGACCTAGCCCCTCAAACAGCTGGGGCAGGCGCCACCCACGGACACCGTGGGCCAACCCCAGGGGAAAAGCCACCCCCATTCCCAGATCGGCTAAAATATCCCACAGCACCAATTCCCTGCTCAGAACCGGACAGAAATCAGCCGAAAAGGAAGAGAGAGCTGCCTTTCACCAACTGTTTGCCCACAAACTGATAAAAATCAACTACAAATGGTTAGATGTCACCCACCTGGGGCCCAGAACTGGGAGAAATCCGCCCCAAATTGGTGAAATCCAATTCTTCCAAGGTTTGGTCATGCTCAGTAACATTGTCAGGGTTCGATCATTGCTCCAATATGGGCCAGTCCTGGTCCTATTTTTACATGGACCAGAAACTGGGCTACCAAAGCAGCCAATCAAATACAAACCCATCGATCTTGTAGAAAACGGGCAAATAAAAATAAATAACATGGACCAAAACTGGGGGAAACTAAATAAAAAAATGACAATTTGTAAAAGGCTGGAGAGCGCCAGGGAAAATACCTCAACAAAACCAAGCAATAAAATACCAAATACAAAACGGGGGAAGGAAAAGATGAATCTTGTGAGCATCTTGTCAGAGCTCCGTCAAGCTGCCCTGAATTCATTCCTAGTTGAACTAGAAAACAAACAACAGCCTTTTCTGAAACAGGGCACTGGGATGGCTGAAATTTGCTTTCCTCGGACATACAGGAGGTCAGACTAGATGATCTAAAAGAAATGACCCCCCCCCCCGGCTTTCAACAGCTGTACTAAAAATAGGAGAAAATAACCCCCTGAAATATTAAAGTGATGGATCAAAACTTGGACAAATGAGATTTAAAAACACATGCTGGTGAAATGCAACCTTCCCCCAAATGGAACAAACTTCAAAAACCAGATTCAGCAAGAACAGGGTAAAAAGAATAAAAATCCGCGATTTCTGCCCCAAACAGGGGGAAACAAAGAAAATCCCTGAATTTACTGAGTGGGGTCGGGGGATTTCTAAATTCACTAAGGGCAGGAGGGAAATTAAATTCTAACAAGGACAAAAAACAATTTGCCTCAGAAAGAGGAGTAGATAAATCAGACTAAATATACTAAAGAAAGAGAAAAAAAAAATCCCAAATTTCATAAACTGGAGCAAATATAAAATATTCATAACTGGCCCTCAAACAGGAAGAAAACTCATTCCAAACTCACTCCTCCCAATGCGATAAATAAAGGCTCCAACCAAAATACCGATGAGATTTTCTAAAGCTGCAGCAAACGAAATCCGTGTTACCCAGGAGTTGCCAAAACCCATGGGAAGGAAAGTAAAGGTCTCACCTTCCCCCAATCAATTGATAAGAAATTAATTTAACACAAAAGAATATTTCGACTCTCCCATTTTTGGGAAATCTGTGATTATTTTTATTTTATTTCTCCTGTTTTCAGTCAAATAAAAAAAGAAATATCACAGATTTAGCCCAAAACAAACAAAAAATAATATGTTTGATCACTTACATAAAAAAAATGTACACACACAAAACGTAAAGGCATCTGCAAATAAATACGTTCTCGTCTCCCCGAGGGGAGTGGGGGTTACAGAGATGGGAAATGAAATCAAAGCCGTCACCGGGGAAAGAATCACCTGGGGCCGCCCCTTGGAGCTGGGAGCAGAAACGCACCTTCCCCCAGCGCCTGCGGCCGGATGGGAGCCCCCCCCATTTCTGAGGGGGCGGATAGTGTTGTGGGGCCTGGGACTAGCTGAGACTGGAGCCCCTCCCCCAGGGGGTTGGATAGCGTTTGCGGGGGGCTGGGGCCCCGACTCAGAGACAGACAAGCCGCTGGCCCCGATAGCAGCACCCCTCAGTAAAAGGGTCACCTCCCCCCCAGTCCCCCCCCTGCAACCACCCAACTGCTGCCCCTCCCTCCAGGGCCTCCCCACTGCACCCCCCCCAGCTCCTGGGGGGCAGGGGTAGGTGATTCTTTCCTCCAGAGCAGACACTGCAGCTGTACCCCCCAGCGCTGCCCCCTACACACAGCAACCAGAGTGGGGTTCAGTCCCCTTGGCAAACCACAGTCCCACAAGATACTGGGGTCACATCCCCCATGCTGGGCTATGGGGTCACCTGCCTTTGGGGTCACGTCCTCTCCCTGCTGTGCCATGGGGTCACCTGCCTTCGGGGTCACATCTCCCCCTGCTGGGCCATGGGGTCACCTGCCTTCGGGGTCACGTCTCCCCCCTGCTGTGCCATGGGGTCACCTGCCTTCGGGGTCACATCTCCCCCTGCTGGGCCATGGGGGTGCTCTGGCAGGGGATGCCCGGAGAAGCCCAGTAGCACGGGACCTCCTGCTGTGGGTTTTGGAGAGGCCCGAGCTGCCCCACCCCCGCATTCAGATGGAGACCCTCCCTCACGGCCCCCCACCCAACCAGAGAGAGGGGCGCGGCCTGTTCACGCTGTCGCAGGGCTGTGGCTCACCCCAGCCAATCACTGGGCGGCACGGGGGCGTGGCTGGTTCCCAAGCCCAGAACAGGTGTGGGGGGGCTGGTGCCCTCACCTCCAGGGCCGCCGGGCTGCGCGGGGGTCCCCGGGGGCGCTGCGGCGTGCCCCCCCGGAGGCAGCCCGGCCCCCCCGGGCCATGGGGCTAGTCCTGCGGCGCCCCCTGCCCGCCAGCCGGGGGATGCGGCTGGGCCGCTCCTCCCGCAGCACCCGCAGGCCCTTGAGGTGGTGGAGGGCGGCTGGGGGCAGGCGGGCGCTCAGCTCCCGCGCCAGCTGCAGCAGGCGGCGGTTGAGGGCACGCACAGGGTGGGCCAGCAGGGCTAGGGCGCGGCGGGGCCAGGCGGGCGGGGCAGGCAGGCGGGCAGGGTGGGGGGCGGGCACGGGCAGCCGGCTGCGGAAGTTGCCCTTGTTGGTCTTGGGGAAGAGGCGGAAGAGGCCGCCCTCGGTGACCAGCCCAAGGCCCTGCAGGGCACGGAAGGCGGGCAGGGGCAGGCCCAGCAGGACGCGCAGCCAGAGGCGCCGGGCGCGGCAGGGCAGCCCCCGCAGGGCGCCCCGGGCCAGCGCCATCAGCAGGTAGAGCGGCAGGAAGAGCCAGGGTGAGGCCAGCAGGTGGGAGGCCAGCAGGATAACGGGCACGTAGAGCCGGCCCCGGCTGGCACTCAGCCCCAGCACGCCCAGCGCCCCCGCGCCCTTGGCCAGGGCCAGGAAGGAGGCACCCGAGAGCAGGAAGAGCGAGTGGAGCAGGGCGTAGGAGACGCCCAGCCCCACCAGCGCCCCCTCCAGAGCCAGCAGCACTGCCTGGGCCCCGCCGCCCGAGCCCTGGGCCCACAGCGCTGCCAGCAGCAGCAGCAGCGCTGGCCCGCTGGGGTAGGCGGCCACCAGCAGTGCCAGCCCCGCACACACGGCGTGGGGCAGCAGGGGGGCCAGGGGGCGGGTGCTGGCCTGGCCCCCTCCTCTCGGCCGCGCCGCAGCTCCACATAGGGGTCCTCGGGGGCAGGGCAGCCGTCGGCTGGGCCCCGCAGCCCCTCCCCCTCCTCCGGGATCAGGGGCAGCACACCGGGGAAATGGCAGGGAGCGGACGGCTCTAGCACCCCCAGGACAGCATCTAGGGATGCCTCCTGCCCGTCCGGCTCCAGAGCTTCCAGGTCTAGAACATCAGCCTCCTGGCCATCCGGCTTGAGAACCCCCAGGGCCACGAGGCCTGGCTCGAGAAGCCCCAGGCTCTCCCGCTCTAGAACCTCAGCCTCCTTGCCGTCTGGTTCCAGAGCCCCCAGGCTCTCCCGCTCTAGAACCACATCATCATCTTCATCTGGCTCTAGAACCCCCAGGTTATCCCGGTCTAGAACCGAGGCCTCTGCACCGTCCGGCTCTAGAACCACCAGGCGCTTGTGCTCTAGAACTCCTGCCTCCTCGCCGTCTGGCTCTAAACCCCAGCTATCCTGCCCGTCCGGCTCGAGGCCCCCCAGGGCCAGCTCTAGAGGCCAGGCCTCCTGTCCGTCCGGCTCTAGAAGCCCGGCCTCCTGTCCGTCCGGCTGCGGGCCCCCCAGGCTGCGCGGGCGGGGCACCCGGGCGGCACCTACTTTGAGGCTCTTGGGCTGCTGGCGGACCTCCATGGCGTGCTTCTGGCGCAGCTCCTGCTCGCGGCGCTTGTTGTACTCCAGCTGGTTGCTGAGCTCGGTCTGGTGCTGCAGGCGGGTGAGCTCGGTGCGGGTGCGCTGCACCGTGTGCAGGTGCCGGAACTCCAGCTCCTGCGTCGACTCGTGCTGCCGCAGCAGCATGGCGCACTCCAGGTCCTTCTGCGTCTGCTTCTTGTTCAGGTCCTGCGGGGCCGGGGTCAGCATCAGCGTCACGCCCGGCCCAGCCGCCCCGCCCCAAGCCCCGCGGCCAGACAGGCCCCCACGCGAAGCTGCTGCCTACCCCCCCCCACTAGAGTCCTGGGCTGTCACAAGCCCCTCCCCCTGAGCATAGCCCCACCCTGCCCCCATGGGCTCCTCCCCGTAAGCAGTGCCCGGCCCTGCCCTGTTCCGCTCACAGGCTCCTCCCCCTGAGCCGCGCCCCTGTCCCCTCACAGGCTCCTCCCCCTGAGCAGCGCCCAGCCCCTCCCCCTCACAGGCTCCTCCCCCTGAGCCGCGCCCAGCCCCTCCCCTCACAGGCT